TGCTCAATTTTAATAGTGTGGCAGGTTGTTATGGCAGTGAAATTGATATGGATTTTTGGCAATGACTAGAGAAGTCCATAATGAGTAAGTCTTGCCTATAGCTCAAATTTATCAAATTGGACTCATATGCAAATGCTGTGAATAGATGTAGTGGCAAAAAATGAATAAATTGTGGGGTTGCTATTGGGCTACAACACTTCTTCAACTAGTGAGAGTGAAGATGGAGATAAATATGTTTTGGTGGCGAGTAGATGAATTTTGAATAGAAGGGTCTTCATTGTGGTACTTTTTGTAGGGCTTCAATAATTTGTTGAGATTGAGGGGATTGGCTAGTGTAGTGATATTTCGTGTATGGATGCACTTCAAGATTCTTGAGATAAAGACCATAGCTTATCTTGCAAACTATTTAGTAATTACGTGGCCAACATTATATAAATATATGCAGGTGGTGAATTTAAATTAGACGGGGGTGTAATATAGGATAATGATTGAGTAAATTCTTAACCACGTCCAAACTAATATTCCCATGAAGTATGTAGGGATAAATTGGGGAATTATCAACTCCCATATTTGTTGTCAAGCAACTAGTTACTATTTTAGTGGGTGTTAAATTCATAAGGCATTAACTCTACATGATCCAAGAAGGCTACAAGGTAGGCATTTGTCACAAATACATTGATGGATTTACACTAATGAGACACCTATACATTATGCTATATGGATTTTAAATATTTTTCTTCCTTATCTTTTCCAACCACTATTTTTGTGTTTTTGTAATATATGGCAAACTTGTAATTTATAAGTTTTACATCCATGTCATGATTTGTGAGGCAACACATTTTATTGCGGCATGTGAGCTATCTATGAGCAAAGAGGTCCATGCTATTTTCAACACATATACATGGGTTGTACATCACTTTAGGAGGCTGAAATGAACACAATAGTGTGGAGGTTGATATGATCCAATATTGGGGCATAGAGGCAAGAAGTTTCATACACAATATGGAACTAGATAGGCAATTTATATTTACTTAAAATTAACCTTTCTTACATTTATTTTAAAAGTGCATCAAGTGTTTATGGTGAGAATTATACAAGTAAATATTGCGGTTTTATAAGCATCTATTTGAGTTTATGAAGGATATTGTTATTTTTAATATAAATAATGCATGGTATAGGCAAAGCTTACAAAGTGTATTTTCATATCATGAAAAGCTGCATAGATTTTTTTATTGGCTAGAGATGCGATATGATGTTATTTAGTTTGTGTGTAATTGTATTTAGTGCTAAACTCCTAATAGTCCCCCTTGTGTTGCAAAAGGACAGTTTAAGTCAATTATAATTTCCCATTCATTTGATTTGATAGGGCCTTTTCCATAGTCAACTATTAACAATGAGTATGTCATTATTGTCTTTGATTACTTGACTTGCAAAGTGGACGTCAATGCTCTTACTAGTATATTTGTGATTATTATTAGATACTTCCTCCTCAATGAAATGGTGTTTTAGCATTTTTATCTAGAGAAGATTCTCTTGAATAATGGTCCTACATTTCTACTTGAGGCATTTCATATTTTAACATCTCAACTAAAAATACTTTCACGAGTGTTTATCATTCGCAGACAGATGGTTTGGTAGAATGGCTCATTTGAACCTTCAAGGGGATGACCACGAAGTACATAAATTGTTTACATTCGAATTAGAATAGTTATTTACCATCTTTTTGGTATGCATATGTCATATGGGTACAAAATTCATTGATGTTAGGTCTTAAGATGAATATTTAACAAGCATTCTTCCATTAGTTTAAGCAAAGTTTATTGAACAATTAGGCTATATACAAGTAGGATAACAATGTTATTACAATTCCCATCATCATCTACCTGTAGAGTATAAAGTGGATGATCTAATGTTAGTTTGTTTTCTAAATCTTACAATACATGGTTTGTCTAAGGGTCTCTTTGCTTAATGGAAAGGACTTTATTGAGTGTTGTGCAAGTTGGATTGCAAATTTATAAGGTTCAGCATAATATTCAACAAATTGATCCTCTAAAAATTGTGTATGTGCAACAATTGAAGTGCTTTGTATAAAAGGATTAAAAACAACTACCACCACTTATAAATCCACCATTACCTCCTAATGTTCCTCCAAATCCTAGTATATCAACTAAAGAAATTTGATTACCTTCCATCTTTCCGAGAGGAAGGCATGATATAAGATCCAATTGTATAGGTATTATGTTATATATTAATATTAGCATAATAGGATTTTGATAATTATGGTTTCAATCTAAATCATTTACTCTTGTATATAAGCTAAGGTTTTAGGGCTATTTGAATATATATAATTTTATATTCCATACACTCACACATATGTATATATATATGTGTGTGTGTGTGTGTGTGTGTATGTCTATCTATCTATCTATCTATCTATCTATCTATCTATCTATCTATCTATCTATCTATCTATCTATATATATATATATATATATATATATATATATATATATATATATATATATATATATATATATATATATATATATATATATATATATATATATACATATATATATATATATATATATATATATATATATATATATATATATAGTCTCTCTGTTAAATGTGTGTGTGAGCCTTAAAAATTTTATTTTATAGTATTTTAAACTAGAAGTCAAAATTTATTTTTGAAATTCGTGTCAATATTTATACTGGTTTAAAGAGTATACTCGAAATTCAAATGTAAGTGACATATTCTAGTATTAATTTATTATTTAAAAGTTTTTAATATTTAGAGGAAAAGTATATTTTATTTAATAATTAATAAAATTTTAAATATTCTTGTCAAAGAATATTTTCTTAAGAATGATAAGATTAATGTAGCTTATTCATCTAAAAATCTTAATCATATTATATCTTTCGAAATAGGTACAATAAGATAGTTTATTTTAAGGATATTAGGAATAGGAAGTTTTATATTTTTATTAATTTTATTAATTTTTAATGCTATAAATTTTTTTTAAATATTAAAATATAAAGTTATTTACTCATTCAGTTCCTAAGCATTTCTATATTAAACTATTATCAATATACAGTAAGTATAAATTATTATTACATTAATTTGATAAAGAGCTAAATAAAATTAAACTTCAATTTCTGGTAATCTAGTAGTAAAGTATAATGTTTGAAAAATTGTTATTTTCTATTTTGTTATTTTTAATTTTTATATGTATTTTATCTGAAGATATTGAATATGATGTTGGTGCACTTAATGGTATAACTGTTGAAGCAGCAAGAACTATTTTAATTATGATTTCAAAAGCAATTCAACAAATACCAGATGATATACTTCCTTTAGGTCAAAGTTTCTATGGAGATATTTCATTGTCAAATTCAAATAATAATATTGCATTTGGTATTTTTGCATTAGATACAATTGCAAGTCTTTGTCATGTAGATGGTGATGGCCACACAAATGTAGGACGAGTTGTAAGAGGAACACTGTATGATATTTTAGGAAATTCTGCTCATAAAATATTAAATTCTTGTGCTTCATATATTATTATAAAAACTAACCAATTTGTTATCTACTATTTCATCAGAAATTATAACCTTGAAAATTTAAATCAGAAAATAAACACAAACATATATAACTCAAGAAATCAAAACATTATTACATCAGAAAGAATTATTAGATGTGATATTTTTTCATATATCTTAATAAGTGGCTATATTAATATGCCCCATCAATATTTATTACCAACACAAATTTTAGTTTCTTTAAATCAAAAGGCACACTTATATTTGGATATTTATTGTAATTTAATATTATATGCAGCTAATAAAATTTTATGGTCAACTGAAACATCAAATAATGGCTTAAAATGTGTTTTAAGACTACAAGAAGATGGGAATTTAGTTCTATATTCTTTTAATAAAAGTGTTCTTTGGCATTCAGATACTTATTGTAATTATCAAAACTGCCATGAAAATGCAATATTAATACTGCAAAATAATTGTAATTTAGTTTTATATTTTTCATATCATAAAACATTAAGCACTAAGCCATTAACTCAATCTGTATGGGATTCAAAAACATTTTGTTAAATGAGAGTTATACTAATTAATGAAATAAATGGCTTTATATATGTTTGATAATTTTATCTTTTAATAATATATTGAATTTTAATAATAATTTAGATAATATTTAAATATCCCATTAGACCCTCAGCTTTGGACTTTCATGTATTTTACCAACGTCAGAAATTACAGGTTTACAAAGCTCGTTCCATGACCACATTGTGTATGGTATACGAGTACTTTAAGTACGCTACGTACGACTCTACGACGTAAAAGAATTGGAGTGTACTACACATGGAGATAGTACAATGTCGTACACTGGGATATCTCAGCGAGAAAGAGAGGGAGGGCAAATCCTCTGTCTTGAAAGGAAGAGCAAGCAATTGCGTGATGTGAGGCGGAACGATCTTGTGTCTCTCACGAGCGAGATGCGACAATGGGATCCAAAACGCTGTGATGTTTTTAAATCCGTTTCCATTCGCGGTGTACTACACGAGGTACTACAAATCTCTCGACTCTATATAAATTGCGAGCTCTCGGCTCTTTTTTCTAGCAGCTTTGATGATCAAGGAGAAGAAAAGGAAGAGTTTTGATGAATGATCTCCCGAGTTTCTTTCTTCTAGCGGACAGTTTCAGTTTTCTCGCGTGATTTGTGCAAGGATTTAGTAGTAGCTAGGGAGAGACATTGCATGATAGCTACACCAAAGAGCAACCTCGGCTCCTTGTGTGGCTTTGATGCACTGCCTCTTCCCTGGCTGCGGCCAAGTTACTTCCTCCTGTTTTTCCCAAAAGATGTTCTAGTTTCTTTCCATGAATCGAAGCTCCACGTTTGATCCAAGAGATCCACACAAGTTTTTCTCAACAATGTGTGATCCACTTTTTCAGTGTCGTTTCACGGTAGCGAAACTTTCATATGAAAAGCAAATTACGTTTATACAGGAAAAGAAAGAAAAACACAGCTATGAACAGGGTTCTTCGAATTTTTTTTACACGGTAGACTTGAGTGGGATTTCAGCAGGCCAGATTGGCTCTGGCAGCGAATCCAGAAATGAGCTAGCTATTGCCTGCACAAAAAGAAGAAAAGATCGTCTCGTTGTGGAATCATAGTATACATACCATGAGTGTACAGCGAGCAACAATCATCTCCACTCCCCCCTATGTTTCTCGTCGAACTCTCGCTTTCGATCGGGATCCATTCTGAAGTTTAAAGAGTTTGAGTAAACACTGTTTCAAGCGTGAGAAAGATAGAAAGTGACTTACCCATTACGAACTCCCAGAAATGCATGACGTACGGCGTCCGCAGTAGCGGACGCAGGAGCAAGAATTGCTGCTGGCGAAGCCTTGATAGCATTCGCAAGAGCTTCTCCCGCGCCTCCACCTCGCTGATAAACTTTAACGGGATTCCCAACCAAGGAAATGGCTGTTCGTTCCAAACCTTGAGCTAAGCTCTCATAAGCCTGCCGAAAACCATCCCCATGACCTGTATGTGAAACAAAAGCCCTTAACGAAGTACCTGCTGGAAGCCCTCGCGAGTATCACTTGGCTGGAACTTGCGCCTCGCATCCTTTCTATCCGAAGGTATGCGTCCGCCCAAGCCCATCTCTGTATGCAAAAGAATGTGATGGACTCCAGCAGCCAAATTTGCTCCCAGGCCCAATGCCTCCACAGAAATGCTCTGAAGGAAAGCCACAGCCCCTGCATGGCTCGAGTTTGAGACCGCTTCGGATAGAAGTAAGAAAAAGACCATATACGCACCTTTCCTCATTCCCCGGAGAAATCTTCTGTCTTTCTTGTATTGCTCCGTTGGGAAAACTATCAGCTTTGCAGCGCCGGAGCTTACAGCATACAGAGGACGTATTGGTCCAAAGGCCCTCAGTAGCTTGTGGACTTGTCGGGGAAATATATCCTCGAGCCATTCACCGAGTAACAAACCCATGAGACTGCTCCATCCATAGACCCCGGACGTATGCACAGACTTGAGATGGAGCTCCACACCCTGCATAAACATTGTTAACACGTTTGATTTACAAGGAAACAGCAGTACCTTCCAGGACACCATATTAAAGAGCTCAAAACAATTCCCGCTTCTCAAGGCCCCAAAATCCAGCCGTCGCGGAATATAATCGACCCGTATTATCAAGGGTCGCATTTCACACACCTGCATGACAATCAAATGTAAAAGCAGAGTCGACATTCGTTCTTTGCTTTACCTGAAAGAATGGTAAAATTGCATCTTCATTTGCACCAGGCAAAGAGGAAGAAGCATCGTCAGTGTTCGTATCCGACTGAAAAAATTTGCCAAAGAAATCGACATGAGCTTGGTCGAGATGTAGACATATAGGCAACAACGCCAGAGAGAGTCTGAAAAAGAGAACGAAGAATTAAGAGATAAAAAAAAGGAAGAAAAAGAATTGTCACAAACCTGTATTCTTCCAATGGAGCCAAGGGATTTGGCCTCACAGCATCCATACGAACTACAACAGCCTTAGAAGTGGACTCCCGTGGACGCGACCGCTTGTGATAATAGCCCAAGATCTGCACCATCCCACTCATTTAGAATAGAAAGAGTCAGAAAAGAAAAGCTTACCAGTTTCCAACGCGCGTCCACACTATAGTCGTAAACGTGAACGTCGTGAATCTCCACGAGAAGACTGGATGCATACAGCCCTGTTGGTGCAAAAGCATCGTACTGGACGTCCATTCCGACGACCGAAACTTCCACACAGCGGTCCCTTTGCCTTGCATTCAGCCAGTCCGACCCTCCATATAGTCTCCACCGCACTTTCAAGCCATTGAGAATCACTCTGCCGAGAGCTTGCGGATAGTTCGCCTCCTTTCTGGCATTCTTTCTCGGGCTGACGCACTCCAAGGGAACATGATTATCGAAAACATCCACCGGAGAATCTTGGTACCAGCTACCTCTCGACTCTGAATCACTGTGTTGAGATGTCGATGTTTCTGTTTCGCTTTCTTGACTAGAGGTTGGGCTCATATGCGGCGCATGCTCCATCACAAAGAAGTCCTCGATAAAAGTGGGCTCACAGGCTTCCCCACGAGATCTCGTAGCAACCAGCTTCACTGACGCTTCTTGACGGACTGTACTCGACGTCGAGCACTCTACCTGCTTCACCTCAAGAACTTTCGCACAGCCAAAGGCGTTTTCCACCAGCCCCTCAAATAACCCGTCTGTGAGTTTGTCTGCAGGGTCAAGTGTTTGGTCTCCTTCATCTCCCGTGGACGACATATTCTCTGCCGACTTTCCTTTCATCGTTCGGAGTTGTAGTTCCACGGTCTGTTGCAAATCGGGAGCAAATAGTTGTTGCAAATCCGCCACAAGTCGACCAAACGCTGCAATAGTATCGGAGCATGTATCAAAGTTGAGCTGATTATCAGCCGATATTACTTCGTAGCTCGGATTGTCGGTGCTGCTAAGCTTAACAAAAGCACCAACAACTGACGACTTAGCTACCTGTATAAGAACATCAACAATTAGCAAGCATTATACTACTGAAGGATAATACAAACCTGAACAAAGCCAAGCAGTTGTAGTGATGCACCTCCCATATCGCCAGGCTTTCTCAACTTCGTGTCCACGAGGTGAAGGCCCAGATCTCTGAGAGAGATACAATACTCCTGCGTATCACTGTCGGTAACCTCACCACTAGATACCCGTAAAGCAGCAGCAGCCAGAGCGCACGAGATTGAACTCGTCGGACCAACTGGTTCGTAGACCAACGCTACGTCGTGAAGATCAAACAGAAAGTATGGCCGTCGGGAAGGTTCAACTTGCTGGTCGCAATCCATCCTTTGGAACGCCCCTTTGCATTCTTCCAAGAACTTCACCACGGCCGGTACCCAGTCAAAGTTACCACCTTTAGTGAAAATAGTAGCACCACGCATGCAACCTGTTACGAGCACGTCCGGTTCTTGTCCGTTGCCAGGCCAAGCTACCAAGTTCATGCTCAGTCCTGCAGTGCCGCGCGAGAGTGCGTTCTGTGCTCCACCATCACCACGACCAATAGCGGATGCTTTCCAGCAGACCAGCTCGGCGTTGCGGCCGCCTTCGCGGATTTCCCCTTCACCAAGATTAATATGGAGATATAAAGCGCCTGGATCTCCACCTAGAGCCACCCCAGCAACAAGCTTGAGCCTTGAACTTTTGAGTTGCAAGAAGTCCGCCAGTCTCACCCCTTTGCTAGAAGTGTCGACAAATCGAGAGACACCGACGACAGCTTGGACTTCACGAACTTCAAGTGTGAGTACCATCTGTGCAACCTGTTTAGTACAGGAGGACGCATCCGGCTCCGAACTTGTGAGACATGCCAAGAGCTCGAAGACTGCAGGTTGGTCCGAGAAAGTGAAGCGGAGACGTGGAAGAGAGATGTGTACGTTCGAAGAGGACGTTGCCGTGAGAAGCTCCACCGTTGCAGAAGTAGAGTCTGAACTCAAAGCAGTAGCTGACGCATAGTCGAAGTTGTGTCTTCCGGATCCTGCATGTTTTTTCTTGGTTGCAGCAATCCCATCCCAGATCTTCCTGGCAATCCTTGGCCCAGTCTTGTTCTCGGTCCACTTGATAGTTACGCATGCTTTTCCCTGACTATCACTTCGTAGTCTGACAACTTCAGCGTAAGTTGAGCTGGATATCGAGTAGAGCATGCCGTCGGTAACTGCCAAAGTTACGCTTTGAAGCTCCCCCCTGCTTCCTTTCTGATGTTCATAGACGAAGACTTGAGCTTCTCGCTCACTGGTGAGTCCGACGTCTAAGAGAAATCCAGCCTTTCCCCTGTTAGCCGCAGTCAGGAATGTTCTCACTGACAGTACCGATAAGTTCAATTTGCAGTTACTTCTGACGGGATTTCCAACGTCTTCCTCTTGCCTGTTGCTACCCTCTGAAGAAGCTTGAACCCGATCAAGAGTCTGGGCCAACTTCTTCAGATTATCAACATCAGCCCACAGTACCACAGGTTGCAGAACGAGCGAAACTTTAGTGCCAATGAAGCTTGCGTTTCCGGAACCAGCCCGATGATACTTTTTTAGAGCCAAGTGTACTGCAGGACTTCCAGGAGAAGATGCTACTTTGAAAACCTTCATCCCACGGCCACCGTGAAGGCTAATAGGGAAACCAGGTAGCACCATCTGTGATATACTGTCAAAGCACTGCTTCTGCATAACTGATGGCCCCAATTGAGTAGCCTCGATGAGCATCACGTCCGCATCGACTCTGGATTCTTCTCCAGATAGAAGAGTATGCAGGGTTGCATCTTTAAATACCAATTGTAGTCCATCCGGGACTTTGTCGTACAGCAAGGTAGCAGACAAGGAAGAAAACCTAGCAGTAATCGAGCATTCCATTTGTATCTCTGCATGAAGAAACGTTATAAATATAAACCACAAGCAGCAGCTAAAACACCTTGTGAAGTTCCAGCTAAGTCCGATACTGACGCCGCACCAAATGCTGATCGAGTCCAGTTCCAAATACCGCTGCTCGTCGCGCTTTGATTCCAAGCGTCAAAGCATTCAAAAAACTCGTCCATACTGCAATAACAAAAACGAAATATGAAATGAAGAAAGAGAGAAGCCATATGACGTATTGACTTACCTTGCGGCGAGATCAGGCTCGGAAAACTCAGGCTTCCACATCCAATCGGCAATCACAGAGAGCGTAGACTTGCTCGTCGAAGGAAAAGAATCAAAGCCTTTGCCATCAAACATTGACGACCTCTGTCCCTGGATAGCAGACTCGTAGAAGCTGCTTGTGTCATGGTAGACGGACTGATCAGCAAAATCGGAAGGCACGTAAGAATGCGCTACAGAGACGAGGTGGTTTACGTCTTCCACTGACGCCTCCAGCTGAACAGGCTCCACGGAGATGTCAAACTCAATCTTCGACAATGCCAACGCTGCCGCTTCCTTGCATGGAAGAGTCACTTGAATGGAGCCAGACAGCCCGTTCGTTCCCAAGAGACGCACTTTCTTCTCCGTCCCAACATCCACCGAAGCTCTCTCGAACTCAATAACTTTCACCAGGTTGGAGGACTCGCCATCTTTCGCAGCTTCATAGCCATACTTCAAAGACGGCACCTGGAACGTGACATAGCTCTCCGAGCCAGCATTTCCTTCTATCCCAACCGTGACAGCATCAACGTTCACTCGAAGGCCGAGCAAAAGGTTCTTGATCATCTGGCCTATGATCCGGACTCCATCACTCACTCCCAAGTACGTCGGAACACCTGTGTCGCTGCTGCTAATACCAGGCAGCTGGCTACTACTACACCCCAGGCCGCCTCCATTCGTGCTGGAACCTGGCCTCGACTCACCACTTTGACGAGGAGCCACCAAAAGCTCCAATCCCTTCACCTCGATCTCACACGGAAGCCTCACGACTATCCTCGCAATGGAGCCATACTTCAGGATCAATGGCAAGCTCTTTATCTGGAAGAAAGGAACGATCGGTGAGAACTTTCTTGTCTTTCCTTGTTTTTTTTCTCAGCTTACCTGATCGTTCACGTAATCGACGTTGAGGACGAGATCCGTGAGCGTCCCTGTGCCACTGCCCAGCTGCACGTCCAGCTGCTCCACATCGATCTCCTCGTTTAAGAACCTATTGAGACGCTTGAGCAGAAATTTGCACAAGCGCTTGGTCGCCCACTGTAGCACCATTGCCCCTGTCGCTCGCTTGCCGGGATGAGCAAGCAGGCGATTGAAAGTTCTGCCGGTGAAGCGCTATGGCGCAGCGCGGAAGCTGGCCTGCTAAGAAATCACAATGCCGCGATCGTCCTCCTCGTCGTCGGGAGACTCCTCACCCACGGATTTTTGCCTCACCATCAATCTCGAGCTGGAACGCGGCCAGCGCTTGCGATGCGAGAAATCGTTGCACGATCGCTCCCTTCCAGAAAACCCTATCAGGGGCAAGAAACCCTAAACAAGGGTATGTCTCTTTTTTACCTTTGATAAGATGATGCCCTTTTTTACCTTTGGTAAGAAACGTTTTTATCTGTTTACCTTTGATAAGAAAGAAACGGTAATCAATGCAATTTTATAGCCATCTAATTGGAAGTTTTGATAGGCGGCATATGGTGTGCAATTTGTAAAAGGGTGGATTTCACTCACACCATGTGTATGCCTGCTATTGGTCCACGTGTATTATGAGTGTGAAAAAAACACAGGCATAGAATATTTTACAAATATCCAATCCTTATGCCCCAGATGGGACATCATGCCCATAGCAATGACCCATGCTATGTATGGAATGGAGCCATTCATGGCCCATAGACCCATTTCTAGCAAGTTGTTAATGTTGCAAACCAAATGAACAATCAACCAAATTGCATACCATATTACCTTATCTAAAGCACTATGTTCTCACATCTTGCTCCTGGCGCTCATGGCAAAAGAATTGAATTATCTTTTTTTGGCACACCTCTTTTAACATAGTGTTCATAACAAATGTAAGTGAACTCCATCTAGCTCAATTGTAAAGCCATGGATATATACTGTCTAGAGTTATGTCTAATGCATCCCATTGAGTTTATCCTTCGTTCCCATTGATTTCCAATGTAGTTCTCTCAACACTTTAGTTTTGTACCATGATGCTTAGAAGATTTGCATATGACTCAAAAATAGGTTGAAGTTTAACTAATTCGATGAATTGGTGAGGCTCATACTTCAATTGTGTACTATGCAATGGTGCACAGTGTTGATGTTTAGACCTAGAGTTCTCTCAAAAGGAGCATGCTAAAGGAGATTTGAGAATGTGGAAGTTGCAATTGCATGTAATAACATTTAGGATAACAATAGACACTTTCAACATTTTCCAATTATAATTATTTCAAATTGGATCTGGAGTTCTCTCAAGAGGAGCTTGCTGAAGGAGATTTGAGAATATAGAAGTTGCAATTGCATGCAGTAACATTTATGTGAGAAGAGTAATAATAATGGACACTTTCAACATTTTCCAATCATAACCGTTTCAAATTTTGAAATTTGTAAAACAGGTTTCTAAGCATGGGGCAAAACTATCCAATGTATGTTGTGCGCAGTGGTTGAAGAACTAGAGTTTTCAGGGATTTGAAGCTCGTGCTCACATTGGTAAGAGTAGATTTGTGACAATTTTCTATATGCTCTAACCATTTTGCAATGTTTGAGGTTTCTGGGTTTCCTCCTAGCATGGCAAACTGGAGAGGATTCTATGACTTCTTTGAGGCACAACAATGGATCCAACAAGGGACAGGACCGAGGATTTTATATGATGCCTCCTCCTCTCAAGGCTCAACAATCCTTCCGACAAAGTAGCCCAAGACTACTTTTAATGTTGTGCCAATCACCAAGGGGAAAAGTCCTGTTAAAGAAAGCAATAGCGAGGGATATGTTACTACTCGAGATGCAAGCAAGGACAAGGTCACAGATCTAGAGGGTGATTTTGGTTTTACCATGAAATAAATTGAGAGTTCCTCAAGTGAGGATGGGCATCATATAGCACCTAAGCTCGATAGTTTTGACCCAGATCCTAAATTAGGAGCTGTTTTGGAAGCTATAATGATTACTCTTGGTGAAGCAAGCATAAGCCAAAAGGGTACCAAGGGCTCCAAGTGCCTATAATGAGTATTTGTGGAATATTTTAAATATTCTTACCTTTAACTTTGCCAATGAACTAGAAAGAGTTTTTTTCAAAGTGTGAAACATATTTCAAGACAATTATCTATTTTTATTGTGGAAGTGTCTAGATTATAGTACTTTTACAACATCAGCCCAATCCATACAAGCTTTTTGGATTTTGGAGTGCCCGGTAGATCTTGTGTTCTCCATTAATGGGTATATTAAAGGGAAGAAACTTCTTGTGTGCATGTGGAGAACCTGGGAAATTGAGTAGATGATGTACCTTGTCTCTACTTGGATCACTTGGATCCAAATAGGCTCTCCCAATTGGAACTTTGGAGAATCAACTGTAAAGTGATGGAACTTGGATAAATGTTTTGGGCTCATATCTATAAAATGTTCAAACATACAAGAGTTTTAGTTGTTTGTGAAAGTAAATAATTATAAATGATATCCACAATCCAACTGTGGAAGTTCTCTCCAAAGTCCTAATCAAAGATCAGGTAGTTGATGAACTCCACAGAAGGAATGATCATCCTTACCCAAAAGACTTGTAATAAAGCATTTGTCCCAATGAGTGAAAGCCCACCTACCAATGCTAGACTCTTATAAAGCCTTTGATGAGCTTCCATGTGCATTAAGTGTTGGAAGCCATCTCAAGGTAAGTCTCCCATTACATTTGGCTTGATGAATAGGTAATGCTAAACCACTGCAGCTACGCATGCCTCCACAGCTTGCTCATAACCTTCACCAAGTTAGGTGAGTCTAGACTCAAGCATTGCATTGTAGTCAGTAATTGCAGGTTTTTTAGGATGGAATCCACAAACTTGCCCCGATTGCCCTCCTCCTTTAGGCTTGATACACCTCGCAATTGGTTGAGTGCATTCTAAATATGCGGTGAGCATGCCTTGAGGTCCATCTCATATAGTCCTCCTTGGGCAAGTTGTCAATCATTCTTATTTGGAACCTCTCCAGTTGCAATTGCCAATGTTGCAATTGTACACATGCGAGATACCTGTGCATTACATTTGAACACTTGGAATAGCAACTAGCCCATAAAGATAACCTGTGCATATAGAAATGAGGAGCATATAAAACTTGTGCTTTAAATTTAACTTACCACATCTCGCTCTTCTTGTCGCAACATCCTAGAATGCACTAGCATCCTGGGATGCCAATATGTGGTTCCTTCCCCAAGCACAAATAGTTTACGTGTCTGTAACATAAAGTTATTCTAGTGAGCCAAATGAAAATTAGACTTACCGATTCTGTCTCCCACACCAAAGCTCCTCCAATCTCAGATGCATAGACCACTTTGTAATTCGGTGTGCAGAGATTAGTATTGAAGGCAAATTGGAAATAACTGAATTCATTGTTTGGTGCAATCTCGAAGGACAAATGAGGGAACTCTAATTCATAGGCAATCTATTGCTTACCAGAATGTGAGACAGCCTCAAATATGTATGAGCAAATTTGTATGACTGAAGCATGGCCTTCTCGATGCAAAAAAGGGAGAACTTACAATACAGTATTGCAGCAGTGTCAAATAGTTCTCTCAATTGTTGTGTAGTTGCCCAATTTCTACACAGGTCTCTGCACAAAACAATAAGATGGTACTAAATGCTAAGAAATAGATACATGTACCTCCTCTCAATGAACTATGCTATTGTGGACTTAACAATTGAAGGAGGCGCATTGATACTTCCTTTAGCAAGGAGCTGTTGAATTATGTTGTCACAAAAAACACCTTTGTATTGTGCTTCTGAAAGGCCAAGCTGAAGGAGAACACTTTCCCAATCTTGCCAATGAGGCATGGCTTGGCTGAAAAGCACGTGCCAAAAAAATATTTCACCACCAACCCAATGGAACTTAGGGTGTTTAGCAATAGCGTCCAACATCTTCTCATCATTTTTGCTCTTCACACCAAAGCAACCAAAAAGCTTGTGTTTCAGTCACTACACCTATGAGAGAACTTCAACATCCCCCTATGCCCTCACCTCAAAGGCTATGGTGGCATCTTGTAAGGCAGAAACCTCCTCATACTACAGCATGATGAAGTTGGCACTATCTTGAGTGGTTAATTGAACAGCTTCATTAAATGCATTGATGGCACTCTACTATAGAAAAGTTGTCAAGCAACTCTATAATAGTAAGCGGAGTGAAGCTACTTCCCTCTAGAAAGGGGGGTGGAAGCACACCATGGTCTTCAAAGCCTTCACCATCACTATCATACACTACTATTGGCCTATTTGCACTCAAAAATTAGAAAATGAAGAAAATATTCATTTATATTAATGTTTATTACTAGTCGCATGGCCTGAAGCCACTATCTCTGGTGACAAGGATGTCTCCGGAAATCCTTAGTGCAGTTCATCCCCACCATCACCTGTTCTTCGACTCCGGTGATGTCCATGTTATCTTGTGTGGGGAGATTTTCTTCTGGTAATGGAAGAATGTCCTCTTCATTTGTAGAGTTTTCTTCTTCATTATTCTTGTCTTGGTTTGGTTTTTGTGTGGCTAGCCTCAGGAGAAATGGCTTTATCACTAAGGGATTATCATTTGCAATCAAGGTATTTGTAATAGCTACAACTGCAAAGACCACAACATATATTTGTGATGAGGGAATTTAAAATAATGACTTACCTTCATAAACATCCTTCTCTTCGAGTGCTCAGGCTTGTTTTTGATAACTTAGCCAATATTTCTCAGTAAGATGCTCCATAACATTGTATAGGTATATTACTTTTGCCCGGTTGCCATTAGCCTTGTTTGCTATAGCTCCTCATGATATTTTAGGAGGCTAGTAGCAAAGCCAAATAGAGCTGAGGCTAAATTTTGTAGACTCAACATGGGCCTCACCACCATTAGACTGCCTTGCACATCGGATAAATACTCCTATGTTGCTCATGGATGAAGGATGGATTCCTAAGGCTTGGAGTGATAGTAGAATCATATATTGGGTCGTGTCGGGCTAGAAAGGATTACTGGAGTATAAGCCACCCCATATGAGACACTCTGGGAGGTCCACTGTCAGCTCATCAAGTTCTATCACCTTCACAAATGGCTTTCTTTTCCGCCCATACAAGTGTACATGCCAAGTCTTCGGGATTGCAATCCACTTGGTGACAAGAATTATGGTGGATGGCCAGGGGACTAAAAGTGTCGTAGACGACATCCCACCAATGACTTTGGATTGACTACCACGACGTCTACGACAACAAGATAAGGACTATCGATTGTTATCAACATAAGTGTGCACTATAGCCACAAGTGGTGAGAGAGTCTCACATAGTGAAATGAAAATGAGTCAAACAAATCCAAAGAAAAGAAAATTTGAAGAGTGCATGGGGTCATGTTATATCTATGGCTCACATGGCAGCCTGCATTGAGGGTTAGCTTAAATATATCTAGATGTCGAAGCTCCACTAGATAATGATGTCAATCCTTGGGAGTAGTTATGGAATGCTAATGGGGAACTATAAGCTCGCTAGTGTGGCAGCATTGTCAACTCACCCTACACAGAAAAACACATGGAAAAAAAACAAGTACAAATAAAAAACTTACCAAACTAGACCGCTTGTTACTTCATGAGGTAGATGGCTAGGTATTGGCACTTGTACCGGTAAATGGAGTTGTGAGAGTTGTAGCAACTGGTGGAGTTGCAGGGCTGGTAGTAGTGGCACTATATGGGCTTTCGTGAGTATGTCCTGTAGTTGGTGTTGGTGGTAGCATTCTAGATTGGACAACACCATATACATAAGGCGTCTAGACTTGTTCATTTTGAATGCTCAGGTTGCTGCTTTCTAGGGAAGGTAAGGAGAACAAAACATGCTAGAGGTTCTACATATGTTGTAGTGTATGCAATGTTAGGCAACGCTCTACTTGCTCAAATGCAATTGAGAGCTGTGGATGGGATGCTGTTAGAGTTGATGTCCCTACTGCAGAGCTTGGAAAATCAAATGGTTGGCATGTGTCTCGCGGGATTGTTGGCTGTACCAATTGCGGAACATCGAGTGCTTGGCTGCATGCTCGCAAGTTGTTTCCTGCATAGTGTCTACTGCTGTTGAGGCATGCGGCATTCTTGCTTCGAGCCTAGAAACCACAAGGGATTGGTTATGCAAACCTGATTGAGGAAAAACTACCCACCATCGCAGCTGTGGCACTCTTGCTTGGGCGATAGTCCTACAATCGGGGGAGTGTGCATTAGAAGCCTTGCTTCCAGTTAAATGACACGAATCAATTGGAAGAATGAATGAACCATCGACAAAAATATGTCATAAAATAAAATTGCCCTGTATCCAAGGCACAATCAATATGGGTGGGACTTGGTGTAAACCCTAATCCTGAACGTGGGAACCCTAAAATTGAAGAAATCAAGAATTGAATTTAAATTTGAAATGTACACTAAAAAACACTTAGTTTTCTCTGAGTATAGCGAAGTATAATTTTTCCAAAGCTTGTCGCTTCACTGATGTTACTATAGACAAGGCACTTTCAATGTAAAGTGGTAAATCTACACCCGCAACATCAACCATTGTATACTCAATTGTTAGATCCAAATGAAGTAAATATTGCTCGTCCAAGTTGAATCCCTCCTGATGCATCAAAAATGCCTAGTTTCGAATAGTGCCAAGAGCTTGTAAAGTAGTTAAACACAACGAAATAGATTTAAAGAAATTGTTCTATTCTTGCTCAGATTACCTCTGACAGAGTTGCACCTTTGATATTGGAGAGAAATAGTCCAAGAAGGTCTTCAATATCTTTTTCACCAACAACCGGCATAATCCCACAAAAGCACAATTTATAAAGAATTTTATAACATTACCAAAATTCTTACCCAAGCTCTCATTCCATCTGTTGAAATAAGTTTGCAAGAACATGAGATGGTCTAAAGTAATTACCACATCGATACGGACAGATCTCATAGAGGTTCCAGGTTGCAACCCAATGTGAAATATCTTTCTTGAGGTATGGAGCAAAGACATAATGTAAACTCTGGTTGTGCCATGGATTAGATACATCAAGAATTCCTATGTCTTCCAAAAAAGGTGCTTATTAATCTTAACAAATGCTTTATGCGTTGTAAAATAAATTTGATTTAGTCCTTATTTGGAAAAACTCTAACGTTGTGAGTACCTGGTTACTTGTTAATGTCCCATGTATGAAGTTCCTAGCTGCAGGACCCCAACAGCAAACCATGTCCCTCTCAACCTCATTGTGCTTTGGAGCATTATCGCTCCAGATGCATTTGGGCCTTTTAAATCAACGAACAACCTATGCATATGTGTTGAATATTGCATGGGATTTTTTGGAGGTAGCTACCTCACAAGCTACAATATAATGAGTTGCCCCACAAATAATGGTATGTATATAGAAACCATAGCTTACAAGCTTGCAATATGCTACAATAAACATGTTACCACATGTGCTGACAAAAAAGCATAAATGAAAGAATATTCACAATCCATATAGCAAAGTGCATTAGCCTCCTCATTCCTATAAATTCGTCGTCGAATCTTTGTCATGTGCCTTTGTTCCAACCTAGTTGGATTATGAGTGGTTAAGGCCTCACGAATTTGATGTCGGCTAAACTGATATCCTCCAATTTGACAGCTAGATCGGGAATTGATAATCCCCCAGTTTGTGCCACCTTGATTCATGGCATTGTTAGTTCCAATATGATGAAGTACCTTTTTGGGTGGTACTTTATAATATACACCTCTCTAATTTGGATCAACAAGCTACATGTATTTGTATAGTGTTGGCTTGGAAATTCTAAGATAGCATGCGAGGTAAGCAGTAATCTTAGTCTCGAGGATCTTTAGATGCATTCAGGTGCCAAATGCAATTGGACTATCAAATCCCCTCGACTTCAAAAAATTATGGAAGGCCTAGAAATGTGCAAATCATGAATCTAGGAAGCTAAAAACTAAGCAAACCTCTAGGAGAGCATTGTTGTCACTATTCACACCTGAACCACAGTCCGAATCACTAAAATTGGATGAAATGTTATTCATTTCATTTTCCTCCACGTCTTCTAGTAAACCTAAAAGAAAAAGTTTTAGTGACACAAATTTGAAGTAAACTAAGGAGGGAACTATACTCATGGTAGAAACTTAAAAGTCCATAGAGAGCAATCGAGTAGTAAATCAAAGCTACTTCCAACATTGCCCACAAAAACATTTGAAACCAATCACTAATAAACCAAGTTACCTTTCACATCTATTACCAAAAAACATGCCAAATAACAGAGCACTAAAGCAGCATACTAATGCAAGGAAGCATCTCCTAAATCTTATGACCTAATGAATCTTTATGTCATGGGGTCAAACTTGATGATATATGGCATCTATGTATAACACATTGTTCATTATGGGGACATTATCAACCCATCGAACCAGCATCCATGGGGTATCCATGAGGCATCCAAATGACATTTAATGCCGAATCAATAGAAAACTACCGCATGAACATTATATTGTGAGTGAAATCTGCCACAGTAACACTCACCCTTTTCCGTATTGCACGCCATACGGCGCGTATTATGATCGTTGCGCCACGCGTGGTCGCATAAACCCTAAAACTTCTTTCTTTCTTTCTTTCCAACAGGCTAAATTTCGGGGGGACGATGGCAGTGAGCGACAATTCTTCCTCCGATGAAGACGACGAGCCATTCGTCTCGATCGGCAGGGCCACCAGCAGCTCCAGCAGCGGCAGCGACAGCAGCAGTAGCGGCGGCAGCGTCGTTTGCAGTGGCCGGACAAATTCCAAGATCAAGAGGAGCAGCGATGCCGGGCGGAGGATCCAGCATGGAAGGCTCTACGACTCCACGAACGGGATTACTTGCCACTGGTGCCGCCAGAAAACAGTGGAGGACAAGGTGTGCTGCAGCCGCTGCCCCATCAGCTTTTGCGGGAGCTGCCTCGCCAATCGCCATGGCGAGATTCTTGACGAGCAGATGGAGGAGGGCGTGCGCTGGGTCTGTCCCAAGTGCCGCGGCGGCTGCGGCCCTGGCTGCGTGGATTCTTGGTAAGATCGATCCATCTCCATCGCCGAGATCATGCATTTCCTTTCTAGGGTATCATCTCACGATCCATTCTTTGCAGCTGTAACTGTGGCCCCTGCCGCAAGGCGCAAGGATTGGCGCCGACGGGCGTCCTCAAGCACGGAGCTGCGAAGTCCGGATTCAACAATGCGCATGACTACTTGATCCATCTCGAGACTGGTGAGTCCGTGAGAGAGATCGCACAGCGCAAGCTCGGGAGGGACTGGATCAAGCCCGGCAGCACGGTTCGTTACGACACCGAGCCGATCTTTCGGAGGAGGATCATCCGGACTCTTGACGATGAGGAGTGCACGCCAAAGAAGCGGCGGACCTGCGAGGCCGAGGAGAGGACGCCTCCATCGAGTGTGAGTGTTCTTTTCTTTTCTTTCTCTAAACTTTGGCGATGTTCTTTCTGGCGTTAGATGCGTGGAGCGCTCAGGGGAGCACAGCTACGGCGGTATCTTTCTCAGCTAGCGTCCGACAAGGCCGCGGATAAAGCCATCGCCGAGGAGGACGAGGAGGCCAGTGGCAGGGACGTCGCTTCGCTTGGAAGTAGAGTAAAGCTCCGGCTTTTTCAGTCGCGTGTCAAGGGCGAGAAGATGGACCACGTTGGGACGAGCTCGATAGCTGCTGCTGCCCCAGCGATCAAGACAGAAAAGCCGGCAGACGAAGAGCAAGGTAAGGTTTTCAGTCGCCAAAAGCAAGTGAAGATGGAAAAGGATGGTGAAGCGTCGGCTCCTGCTTCCCAGAGCCACCAACAAGCCGGGGAGCGCTTCCGAGAGATCTTCTCTGAGGCAAAGCAGACGAAAGAACGAGAGGAGAAGGATGAAGTTAACGTTGGTGCTCGAGTCAAGGCCGAAAAGGAGGATAGTCCGAGGACAGGGAGCGAGCAGAGGGCAACTGTTGCGATCGTCAAGAACGAAGAAGGTGGTGACAAGAAGACGATCAGAGCAGGCATTAGTAGTGAAGAGGGGCGGGTTTCTAGAGGAGAAACTCCTAGCGACACCCAGGACGAACGAGGAATCGAACACGATAGTGGCAGCAGGGAGAATACACCCGCACCGTGGAGCCGCGCTAGGAACCTGGAGAGAGCTCGCGAGCACGCTCAGGTGTTCCATAGAGCTTGCCGGAGGAACACTAGAAACAGGAGTAACTATTCGCACTTGGTGGATTCCGCAGCGAGCGAGAGTGAGGAAGAGGAGGAGCTGGAACCCGACAGCGATGAGAGCTCGAGACGCACCCAGAGTAGCTCGCTCACCGAGCAGCAGGACTCCGACTCGGACAATGGGACAAAGGTACGTTTTTATTTTCTTTTCTTTGTTAAGCTGTTTGTTTGATCACCAGGATGAAGGATTTGTTCTAGGCCGAGACGCTGGACTTTTGTATCGCCAGCAGCTTGAGAAGGAGCTTGAGAAGCCCTTCGATTCTCAGCAGCTAGAGAGCATGCTCAAGCAAGCGAGCTGTAGGAAGCCAGTTCTTCGTCACAGGGACACAAGGCGCGGGAGTATGCCAATCGCTACTACCGTCACAGCTCCTTCCTATCTGGACTATCATCCAGGTGATAAGAAAAAAACACTGCTTGCTATAGCACGAACTTTCATTCCTCGTTTGCTCATTGCTTTTTGTTTGCATGGACAGATCTTGCGGAGAAAGTAGAAGTGGCTGAAGATGAGGAAAAGCTCCGCCTCTTACGTGGTTTCTTCTTCTGGCTTATGGTAGCGTGGACTTCTTCATGGCGATAAAAAGTGTTCCGTTCTTTTGCAGAAAACCTGCGATCCTGGAGCTTTCAAGCCATGGGTGACTCTCTCAGACCAGGAGAAAGGCAGCGACGATTGCTACTTTGATGATCCAGACTGCGAGGTAGACGGATCTACGTGGAAAATTGTTGCTTCACTAACTTTGTGGTTCATTAGATTACTGCAGTGGTGGTGCCACTGGACGAGCAGCGAGAAGCAAAAAACCTGCTGAGGCAGCGAAAAACTTCGATCGCCCCAGCGCTTTCAGATGAAAACGAAGAGACTCCGACTGGGCACGCCAAAGTTAAGGAAGAGAAACTCTCTGATGAGGGAGGTGCCAAAGAGAAAATCGCCGGTGGAATTGGCGTCAAAGTTAAGGAGGAGAAGCTCACAGAATGAGAGAGAGAGAATTCCGCGCAGGATCGAGACACTCTGAAGATATAAAAATTTTGGTAAGTAGCAGCAGTAGCTGGCTAGGCGGATTTAAGTGAAGTCACTGTGTAATGTTACGCAAGAAAGGAAGAACAAAGAATGATTTTTTTTTGTTACTTGTAAAGAGCTTACCAAGAACTGATTCCAGGCATTGGATATTTTCTTCGCGAGAAGATCCATTGTTGCGAGGAATTCTAAAGAGTTCTTCCTTTCTAAGCAGGCTCCTCGTAAGTATCCTTTTTGTGAGCCATGTTGGCGGCTTCATGGAATGTATGGTTGAAGAGACCGGCAATAGCTCTAAGGAAGAAAGGAAAGAACAAGTTTCAATCAAGCAGCGAAAGAAAAGCGATAGAAAACTCACAGTTCTTTCATCTGTTGGATCTTCTCTGGATCACTCTCGTTCATGTTCTTCCGGAATTGCGCGCGCACCATATTGACAATGCCGTCAGTGTTGCCGTGCTGAGAAGATTCGCAAGAAACGAGCCGATCGATTTAAATCAAGAGAGCTTAGTACCTTGTTGCCAACGTATTGCGCCCGACGAATGCATTCCCTGTAGAGCTGCGAAATCGCGAAACAATCAATCACAAGCTAGAATTCTTGCAAAGTTCCACTCACACGTTTGGCGCTCTTGGTAATGTGCTTGGGAATCGCTGATGCCGCAGCTTGCGCCTTCGCCGCGGCCGCGTCCATCGATCAATCACTGCTAGGGTTCTAGCCAATATTTCACCTGACGGAATCTTCTATTTGACGGAATGTACTCGGGTCAAGTTCCGTCAGTCAGAATATGCTTCGACTTTATTGCGCGTTGGTAGTGTGTTTCTTTCCTCTCTGGACGGACGGGATCACGTGTCGACGTTGCATCCAACGGCGCGACGCGAGGAGATGCTCGTCAAGAGATGGCGGGGCGTGAGGGATCGAGGATTCACACAATGCGATGCGCCTAGCTAGGTAGCGTCTTGGCTATGGCCGCTGCCGCCGAGTGCTACGATGTTACCAGGGATTGCGATGAGGCGGAGCAGGCGCTCAGGTAATCTCTCATCGAAATTTCAGCTCCCAGGACAGGATCGTGAGAAATTTCTTGCAAAATCGCAGACTCCTTCTCCAGGGGAAATTCGATGAAGCTGAGGATATGATCGTTGCTAGGGTCAATGCCAGGGACAGCGTCGCCGGAGCGGTGCCGATCTTTACTCATTGCCATGCGGTCATCTTGTTCGCCAAAGCTGGAATCTCTGGAGCTGAGGAAGACAGGTAGATACCTTTCCTTCTTTCCTGTGAAATCCTCCAAACAAAGATTGAAAGAAAATGGTTGGACAGGAAGCAAGCCATGGAGAAGCTCGGTACCGCCGCAAGCATGGCAGAGAATCTCATTCCAAAGCAAGGTTGGGTGCAAAGCATCGCCACATGGGGAATGGGATACTTCTCTTCTCCATCTCCCAAATCGGGTGATATTAGCGAAGAAGAACTAAGCTGGTATTCGCTTTTTCCATTTCTTTTCTTTCGTGAGCTTGATCTTCCATTCTCAAACCAGCCGAATCATTGAAGCAGAGGCTACATTTCTTTCAGCATTGCTGTGCTTCTTTGAAGAATCCATTGCTGCGTTTTTTAGAGTACGTTTATACTGACCTTCATCACGATCAAAGGCTAACTGATCTCTCGTGTTACAGGCAGCTTTGCTTATAAGAAAGGCGATCAGAGGTTACAAGCATTGTCACGCCATCATCAAGAAACAGGTTGATCGCTCTAAAGAGTTTCGTTCCTGATCAGACATATGAACGCTTGCAGGAATACTCTAACAGAAGCGAACATAACGTCAGTGCAGTAAAGCTTGGCTTTGGTGGCTTCAGCCTTGCAATCTCAATGCTACCACCGAAAATGCTGCGGCTCCTTTCTGTTTTAGGATTCCCGTCGGATCGAGCTGCTGGACTCAATTCGATCAACGAGAGCCTGAAAGGTGGAGGTTTGCGAGCACCCCTGTCCGGCGTGTATGGCATTTCGTTTCTTTTCTAATTTCTAGCATCGGTGGCTCACGACATTTTTTTTCTGGTTTCCAGACTGCTGCTCTCGTACCATGTAATACTACCAGCATTTTTCTCTACTCCACAAGTATGCAAATATCTTCTGGCAGGCACGATGATTCTCTCGCATTTCGTATAATTGCAGGAGCGTGAAGACCATGTTGCATCTGCGGTGGAAATTCTAAATTTTATGGAAGAAACTTATCCTAAAAGTTTCTTCCTCAGGTGCGTCTATTATAGAGAACGCTGCGCGTATAATGAATTGGTTTTCAGCTTCTACGAAGGCCGACTGAAACGTCTCAATGGCGACCTTCAAGGCTCCATGGAATGTTTCCAAAGCCTCGAAAGGGTAAATGGTTTTTCTAAATGTTCCAAGTTTTGACTTTACTTCCAGGGGCTGAAGCTGAGCAGTACTTCACACTTTTTCAAATTACGTCATGCATGGGTGTATGAGCTTGGATTAGGCCACATGCTGCTGCTTCAAGTTAGTAAATCGAAGTTCTGTATCGATTTCGCTGACCACTGTTTTGCTTGGTGACCAGTGGGAAGAAGCGGAGAAATACTGGATTGAGTTGAAACAGGACAGTGCGTGGTCCCGTGCGTTCTTTGCGTATTTACACGTAATTTAGACAAGAGAGAGCGTTCGTGGTTAGCTGAGCACCTGTCTTCGCAGGGAGTGTGCCTTTCTATGCGCGGTGAAGGGAAGCTTGCAGCAAAGGAGTTTGCGGAGGTTGCAGCTTTTACGTGTGCTGGTTCCCTTTTAACGTCCGCATGAACAGGTGCAAGGCCTGTTGCGAGGAACCATGTCTGGCCGGGTCTTAGCCGAAGAACAATATGCTTCAAGAAAGGTATCTTCTATATTTCTTTTATCTTTTTTTATTTGTTGTTGTTACAAGGTTAAAGATCATACTCTTGATACCGTGGAAGGAGCACAGGGCGTTCAAGGACAATTATGTGGAGTAGAGTTTTTGTACTTGTGGAACTCGTTTCCTCAGGTATGCCATTCTCTCGTTTCTCACTTGTCAACCAGTTTCTCTCATACAGATGCCGAAGGATGAGCTTGAGGCTGTTGTACATATTATTGACAAAGCCGAAAAGAGCCTTCGCAGTAGTCACCGTGAGAGTGCTATTAACTTGGAAAAAGAGGTATGTTAAGATAAGAGAAAATGCATAGCAATAAGGTACATGCAGGACGAGGAGGAACCGGACGATTATGTTGCTATTTGCAATCTCATCAAGGGCACTGCTCTCCGTGAACAAAGAAAACTTGTGGAGGCGCACTCTTGTCTGGACTTGGTGAGGTATATCTATCCGTGAACTCGTGGCTACACTCGTGACTACACTGCTCTTGTTTGCAGGGAAGATGACATGTACGTGGAGTCCGAGTTGTTTGTGATCCCAATGGCAGCCTACGAACGCGCCCTGCTGCTGATGTACGAATACAACGATGACCAATCTCATCCGCTCAAGCTCATCTCCAACGTAAGATCTATTTCCATTGGTTTATGAACTTTGTGTATCTCGGGTGCGCACAGGCAAAGAAAGAGCTCGATACTGCGGAGGGCTTTAAGCGAGACTACAACTTCTTGTGGCGGCTTTTAGGCCGCGTTCACGCTGCTCGTGGAGCATTGAAAAGCATAATCGGAGAGGAGGTACTCTTCTTTTTTTAGAGTTTAATTTGCTATAATACTACTTACTCAAGCAGGGAAGCACGAACTCGGACACGAGTACCATTACAGACAACGACGACGAGAAATGGGAAGACTGCGTAGACGAAGTGGACGAAACATTTTTTATGTCACTGTAATGTGAGCAGTGAGTGCTTCCATCTTGATTCCTTTGTCTTGATGCCAACAGTCTGGTTTTTGTGATGTAGCCCAAGATCACACCGTCATCTATAGATCAATAACGCGCGCTACCGATAGAGCCGTGGCCCGGCGAGCGACACTCCCGTCTCGTTACTAAGCTACTTCTCCAATAAGTTGCTGGCCATCATGCGCTTAAACTCGTCAAAGTTCACCTGGCCATCGCCGTCCGCGTCCACAGCTTTGATCATCCTTTGGCAGTCCGCCAGCTTCACGCCCCCGTCTCTCAGTCCCAAGCTGCTCAGCACCGCCTGGAGCTCCACAACCGTGATGAACCCGTCCTTGTTCTTGTCAAAGACGGAGAAGGCCTCTCGCAGATCCTGCTCATCACCGTCCCTGGCCCTGTGGTGCTGATCATCGTAGTAGATGTTGCTGTAGAGCGCCAGGAACTCATCAAAGTCGACGAAGCCATCCCCGTCATTGTCCACGGCCACCACCATGCTCTCCAGCTCCGACCTCGACATCTCGAAACCCAGCTTCTTCATCGTGTTGCCGAGCTCCTCGCAAGAGATCTTCCCGTCACCATTCTCATCAAACGTCTCGAACATCTTGATCAGCTCCTCCCGCTCGGCGAATGGCTCCAGCCGCGACTCGGCGCTCACGAAACTGTCACACGACTCTACGCTCCTCTCAGAGAAGGTGCTGGATCGGCTGCAAGCCGGTCGGCTCCGTGTTGGTAAGCCTTGCTCGTCGTCGTCGTCCTCATCCATCTTGTGTTCTTCAGGTCCGTTGGAGAGAGCATTGGATGGAAACTCCACTTCCCCAGTTTGATCCGGAAGCTTTCCAGCTGCGGAAGCTCGATCCTCCGAGAGCTCTCCAGTTTGATCCGGAAACTCTTCCCCCTGGCCCGAGAACTCCCCAGCCTCTAAAGTTCGCTCTTCGGTGTGACCTCCATCTCTTCCAGTTGGTAAAACTTGTTCTCCTTCGTTGCTACTGTTCTTCCATCGCAGTACTTCTTCGTGGAGACTGCTATCACCTGTTCTTGACAAACTTCCATGATCTGGGTAGTGGTCGTCGCTGGAATACCCTGCGCGTGAGCAATTGGCTGGGAGGAGAGCATCTACGAAGGGGCCCAAGACGTTCGTGGCCTCCACCGCTAGATCCACTGCGTCACTCTCCTCCGAGACCCCCGGATCCAGCACTTTGTTCTCCAAATCCAGCGCGGTCTTGTCCGAGATAACAAGATCGCAGTTGCGCGTCGCTGGGATCGTGTCGTCGCGGTCCATCGCAGAGAAAACCTAAACCTCGTACCGATCGATCGATCGCTTCTTCTTCCGCTCGCCAAAATATCACGCCTGGCAGCAATGCCAATGCCGCGCTCGACACGAGTAAGCGAATGGAGCGAAGAAATTTCCCATTCTCACCTCGTGATCGCGTGACTCGTCGTGAAAGCGCCGGCGCTCTCCCTTCGTGGTACCAAGAATCACGCGTCTCTTGCCATCAAGCCAGCATCTCATTCTCTTCTCTGCTCCACTTTAGAATGGATCGATTGATTGCTTGGAATTTCTTTCTAGCAGTTCCTCGCGGCCGGCATATTTCCGCTAAGGCTTTAATGCCTACTTGACTGGGGCTGACATGGCAAGTGGGCGCCACGTGTACGGTTGGATGGATGAACCGATTGAGACCGTCGATTGACCAAAAATCAGGATGGATGGACGGATTTGAAACTGGGATTTTGTGCACTGTCAAGGACCGCGTAAGAACCTTCGCAGCCGAGCGATGGCTGGGAATCGACGGTGGGGGCGCGTGCTTTAGATTTTCCTTGGAATGGATTGTAGCCCTTTTTGGGAGCACCGCGACTTGAGATCAAACGCAGGGATTTTGATCGTCCAGTGAACGATTGCAGGTAATGCGGTTTGATGCCGCCGAAATGGATCTAGCAGCGGCTTCTACCCTGGAGCCGGCCTTGCAATCGGCGTGGATCCAGAGATTGAAGAGCGGTAGCAGCAGGAAGGAGCATGGCGACGAGGGACTCCAGATTCCACTGGGAAAGCTGGAGCTGGGAGGTGAAAATGGACTGGAGACTGGGGGTTTAGAGACAAGTAGAGATCAAGTCCAGGCTATGAGCAAGGAGCTCCTCATCCGGATAAACAGCAAGGTCGGGCTGGATGAGAATGGGAAGGATTTTAATCCTGGAGCTAAGCTTTGCGCTATCCAACGCTCTCCCAGAGGATTTGGTTCTTTTCGCGTCAAGCTCTCGGGCGTCAAGTTTCGAAAGCCGCCGCTTCCTCCAGCGCCCAAGGCTGGCAAGGCCGACGCTGTGGAAGCCCACAAAAGAAAAGAGAGGATTGCGAGAATCCATGGCGTGGACGTGACACTCGAGCAGCAACACCGAAATGGCACGGATGGTAAGAGGAGAGATTTGCTGGCCGAGTTTGCGTTGCGCTTGGACATCAAAGAGAAGCCAACGCCTCTTGGGACTTTTCACATTGTGGACAGGAAGAAGAACCCATCGCTGCGCAAGGACAGGAGGTTGGCCACCTTGGTCTCTCCAATTTCGGTGGCGGCAGCAGTGACGGAAGATCACGATGCGGTGGGATCGATTACAGCCAGCTTAACTTCCGAAGTGCTGAAGCTGGAAGCGTCGAGGCACAGCGCAGTTGGAGCTCGCACCGATCCTTCCTCCATGGAAGGCAATCTCTCGGAGACGAGGACGCTCTCCACAGTTTATTGCGGGAGCTCTCCTTCTCCATGCCCCGCTCCCAGCTGGACTTGCTCGAGAGGATCCGAGCAACCTGAGAGTAAGTTCGTCAGTTTTTCGCATTTTGTTCTTAGACTTCTTACTGATTTTCCTCGCAGGGCGTGACACGATCGAGCAAGAAGCCGAGGTATCTTTCAGCTTTCCCTTTGTTTGTTTGCTCTGATTCTTTCTTCTTTCCTCTTTACCAGGCCTGTTTTGCAACGGAAAAAAGACGGCGGGAAGCATCGGTGGCTTTGAGCAAGGAGATGGTACCTTCAACCTTAGTGAAACGAAGCAGAATTTCGGTAGGAGAGGTGACCTTAGCTGGACCATGGCTGAACAGATGGAGCGTACGGCCTAGCAAGGAATCTGGAGAAAGCAAGCCTGGTAAAGTTCAAAGCGTGACACAGGCATGGGAAAAGAAACAGACTTCGCTACATTGGTCGGAGCCTCCCAGTGCTGCAGCGTTTGCAATCGTTGGTGCTGCTGTGAGACAGCTCCAGTCCTACTCGCTGGGTCAGTCCACAACTTGAGAATCGTCCCTGATCCTGCGGAAGAGATCCATGTCACTAACAACTTCTAGAAGCCTCGCTGTCCGGAGCCAAAGAGACGATGCAAACGAACCAGTCTGCGCAGACGGTAGGCTATCTGCGGAACACTAAAATGAGACTCCATAAAACTTCACAGAACATTGATACCTCTGGAGTAAGCGTTTCAAGCGTAGAAACTGGAAATGAAGGCTATAGCAAACGCTGTCGATTATGCCGCTTGTGGAGCCTCGGTGCCGGGCTGTGGTTGTTGAGACACTGAGCCTGAGAGAGAGAACGAGCACATACTGGTAAGAAGTAAACGATCAAAGGCTTACTCTTGCGAGGGATCAACGTCATCTTGGGAGGTTCTATAACCGGCTCTGGAACTTCGGTGCCTGGCTTCTTCTTCCGCGTACTAAACTGGAAAGGATAAGTTACTTTTCCAAACGCAACGTGAACTTTCTCGATGGGAGGAGGCGGCCTCTTCATATGCTTGACAAACCACTCGTTCAAAGCCTCTTGGCCTGTGAGCAGGATCAAAGAAACAAAAGAACAAAAAATTAGTTCTCATGGTGACAATGGAAGGAGTTGGAAGAGATCAACTTACGTGTGTCTGGAGGCTGATAAGCCCATGTCCCTTGAATCCTTCGGTGCAACCGATAGCCTGGAAACGACGAAGGAACTGTCCGCGACGGAGGAGGCGGCCTTTTGAAAGTCTGTACGTACTGGTTTGCTTGCCGCTGGTAAAGGCTGAGGAGATTCTTTGCGTCCGTCTTGGCAAACATGGAAGGAGCCATTGTTCTTCCAATCTTTCTCTTTGCATCTGCGTGAAAGGATTGTTAAACACAATGCAAGCCTTGGAACCATAGCGAAGAACCATCACACCAAGCAAAGAAGCACAGCACAGCACTAGAGAAGGAAGAGAGATTCACACACCTGGTCGACCAGAAGAGCTTGTTCGTTGTGTAGAGATTGGAAGCCTGTGCGAAGTAGTCCTCCTGTGTGACGAAGACAGTGTGTCCCACTCCATCCTCCCAAACACCGCGGCTTTCTTCTTCCAGGCCGTGACGCGAGGAGATGGTCGCGGAGGCGGCCGTGGGGTATGATGATCGGACTGGCTGCCCTGCAAGATGGAATCCAGAAACTCCCTCGGCTGTAATACCACCGACGATCTATTCCCAATTCCAGTCCCCGGCCCCGATCCTCCTGACCGCGTTGCGCTCCCAGATCCATGCCCAGGACCCGCGGCGGCAGCGGCATTGAGGTTATGGAGTGCCAATGGCGGGACAAGGCGCTTGGATCCCTGCAAGGAAGATCTCTGCTGGACGCCGCCGCCTCCCGGAAGCTGATGGAGCGCTGGCACCCAGGATGATACCTCGGCCATTTTCTAGCGATCAAAGCTGCCGGATCGAGCTTGCGATTCCTCCCAGCAGCGGCTTTGCCATGGCTGACGCTCTCTGCCCTAAAACCCGTTACCCGTAAAGTATATTCTCGCACTATCAAGATTACTTTTTAGGGCTTACTTTTTAGGGCTCCAAAATGGCCACTGGGATTGCAAGAGATGCAACGGCTTCAGTGGCGGTGGAAATCGCCACTGAAGTGCAAAAAAGGCATCCTCATAGTTTGGCAATTCCGGGATTTGTAGCTGCACAGCTTTCGGTGGTATCGATTTTGGGCATTTTTGCCACAGCTTGCGCGCTCGTTGTTACATTGGTTTGGAGATTTTCAAGTAAGCTCCAAAGACTTGAGTCCTTGTTTTTCATTGTGTTTTTCCAGAAAGGCTTCGTTACTTGAGGAATGTGGAGCGCTGCTTAATGTGTTGGTGGGCAGTAACGGGGCTCATTCACGTTGTCTTGGAGGGCTATTTTGTTTTCACGCCGGACTTCTACAAGAAGAAGGAGATTCACTATTTAGCAGAAGTTTGTAAGTTCTCTTCTCAGAAAAAATAGTCAGATGAAATAACCTTTTTTTTTTCAGGGAAGGAGTATAACAAAGGTGATTCTAGATATGCAGCAAGGGATCCGGCCATTGTGACTGTTGAAGCGATCACGGCGGTTTTTGTAGGCCCTGCAAGCTTGCTTTGCGTGTAAGAAATCCTATCTTGTGTTGCTTACCATATACTAACTAAAGTTTTTGCAGATTCGCAATTGCAAAAGAAAAATTCTACCAGTATCCTCTTCAGCTTGTTGTATCCATAGCACAACTTTATGGCGACACTGTCTATTACGGCACAGTGTTTGTTGATGGGCGAGAGTTTTCAGCTCCTGGATTTCTCTATTACTGGTTCTATTTCATGTTTCTAAATTCCATTTGGATTTTAGTGCCTATTGTAATTGCCACACAAAGTTGGCATCGAATTTGCATTTTGATGCAGTTGAGTAAGAAGCTACATTAATTGTGATTTAAGAATATTAAGGATGTATAATTGTGAAATGGATCCATTCTATTTATTTATCAACTCCTTGACAGCTTGATGCCACACCTACTTGATGACGTCACATTCCCACCTCCCTACTTCTATCGTCTCCTTCTTGGAATTGTTGGCCTACCGAGACTATCGTTGGCTATAAACCATGAGGTGACCTTCACCTTTTTTTGAACTAGGAGCTTCCAGAATTCTAAGATATTATTCACCAGTTGTTCCACATCAACACCTTAATTGATCCATTTCCTTTAGAGCTTTAGGATCTCCTCATGGTCTTCCTCTGTACTCGTCATGAACATATTGCATACTTCCTAAACGAGAAGAAACCATTTGCCTCGGTCCAGTCTAGATTCTTTTTCACCTATTAAATTTACTTAAGAGGGAGCAATCCCTTTTGCACTGTTTGAGGTTTTTGTTAGATGCGCTAAATGTTTGAGGCATTGCATCAAGACCTGCTCCCACGGTGATGGAAACCATGGCCAGAGCACGCCCCGCAAGAACAGCCTCTGTCGAAGAACTCTGCTTGATTGACGATAGGATTTGATGAGTCAACGTGTCATACTTGTCGTCGACGAAGTGGGTAAGCAACAAAACTCATGTCCTCGAAGTATCCAGGACCAGTTGTGTAGCAACGAACATAAGCCACGCATTCGACTGGAAGTGTCCAGTCTAGGATGTTTCCAGCCTCGGCATTAAGATGGAAACTTTGGCAGTAGTCATGGACACTCTCGCCCGGGAGTCTGGGAGGGAGATCAAAGCAGTGGGAGAAGGTCGATGCTAGTATCATAAACAAGGACGAGAAGCACAATGGATTCTTCGACTTGATCATCTTTGCAATCAGCAGGAAGAACTGGAGGATGGAACGCAGCAAGATGATGGACAGACTTGTTGCCTATATTTATATGTCTTCAAGCTTTTGCATCGTCATTTTCAAGTCTGAAAGCTGCAATAGGAATGAATTTTTGTCTTTGCAGAGAAATTTTCCAGGTGTTTTGCTAGAAAATATTTTAGAGAATATATACTCAGGAAAACTTACGGGTCGCTATATCTTTGCGTAGACACTACGCCACCGTATATATGCAGCCTTGTAGTGGTTTCCAAACAACTTTGCCAGCTTACTATTGCGCACTCCCGAAAATGACCCAAGAAGTGTCATAACATTATATAAGTGTGTGTTTTGCCTTGAATTCTATGTGCTTACATACTAACTTCTTTGCAACATGGTTGTTTCGATTATCTTGTGTTATTTGCTGTTTTCTGCAATGAGCTCTTTGAATTCCCAGTGCATTGAGCCTCCTCCCAGGCTCCCGGGCCAGAAGATCGAGGAATATTGCGAGAGTTTTCAGATCAATGCGGAGGCTGGGAACATCCGGGAGTGGACGCTTCCCATTGAATGCGTGGGTTTCGTTCGTCGCTACACAACTGGTCCTCGATACTTGCAGGACTTGAGTTTCATGGCGGATCAAGCTCTGAAGCACGCCCAAAGCATCAAAGTTCGTGACGATGGCCGGGACAGCTGGGTGTTTGATGTGGACGAGACTTTGCTATCCAATGTTGCTTACTTTGCCAAACACAACTACGGGTACGTGTATTCATTTATTAGAGATATTTATAGCTTTTTATTCGACTAGAGCTTCCAAGTTCAACCAGACCGACTTTAGCATCTGGATAGAAAAAGGCAAGGCCACGGCAATCGTGCCAATAAGAACACTCTATCATAAGCTCATCAAAGCAAAGTGGACTGTTTACTTGATGTCTCAGCAGCGAAATGAGTCGCAGCGTGCAATCACCGAGAAGAACTTGCGAGATGTGGGCTACAGCAGATGGAAGAAACTATTTCTAAGGTGAGGTTTATTCAACTTTGCACCTGCCTTACAAAAATCATTAATCAGTGCACCTCGGGCTAAACGTGGTTGAAGACATAAACACAACAGGAAACTCTAAATGGTATGGAGAAATTAAATCTTCTGGTGGACGGATTCAAGCTACAGTTGGAGACAACTGGGATACGGACTTTGATCCAAATCGTTTCCCTGGAAGCATGGCGTTTAAATCACCCAATGCCATGTACAACATGGCCTAAGATCATGTTAACGAGAAATATTTACTGTTTCTTGCAAGTGCACTGCAATACCCGACTTTCACATTCTTCTTCAGTTTCAAGATTTTGAAATTCAGTGCCCACAATCCGGCCTCTTATACCATTGTTGAGGAAATGGAGATGGGTAACTTTGGTGACAACAAGGAATTGTTTCTTAGTCATGCCAAAGCCTCTTTGCAGCTCCTGAGTTGGAAGCAAGACTGGGTGATAAACGCGCTGATTAACGAAGAATGATCCCAGGAATTCAAAGAAATTTTCCATGGGTTCATGGCATTAAATCGTGGCCACGGGATTCAGGGTAACGAAGAACTTGCTGCTAGTCTGGAAAGTGCCGTTGGAGTTCCCGGGTAGGGCGAGCATGTTCGGCCCAGAACGGGCCCGTGTGGGCGAGACCGTTAAAGGACATGTGGGGAACAGCCACATTTTCGCAGAGAACCTGACTCATCTGACGGCTCCCGAGTTAACAGGCGAGCACAGCCCGTTAAGATCAAAGTATCGTGGTTTCCAAGACAAGCTGAAGTTCTAAACCGTGGCACACTTGAGGATCTCGTCGCGTCGTCAATTTCAACCAGCTGAAACTGGGGAAACTCGTCAAGAAGGGAGCTATGTATGGACGTGTGTACTTGGCTTGGCCAGGGATGTAAGTTCACAGTGAAGATCTTTAAGCAGTTTGACCCAAGCTTTCACAGGGATGAAAGCAGATGAAAGCACTGCAACTATCAAGCATCCCAACATAAATCGAATGGTAGGATTCAATGAGACTCCGAAGTGCACACATCGTGATGGAATGGACATGGACTTCGAAACTTTCATGCGCCAGAACGGGCAGAGCTTGACTCCAAAGGATCAGAACTACTCTATGCTACAGATGGAATGAAATTCTTGCACGCTAAAGAAGTGTTTCATCGGGATCTCAAGCCCAAGAACATTCTGGTAGAGCTGCATCACGATCGTCGACATGGAGATCTAGACGGCTCGCGAGCGATCGTCAAGATGTCTGGCGCGAACAGATTTTGCGATGGAAAGAAAAAATCTGACGGCTGGATCTGGAACTCTTGGCTATATGGCTCCAGAAGTTAATGACACGGGTTCCACAGGCTACTCGAGAAAAGCCGATGTTTACAGCTTTGGCATGGTTTGCTACCGTGTTTTTACAGGAAGCGCTGGTTATGATGCAAATCTCGCGTACATGCTGCAGAAGCGGCCTGAGATCCTCTAGATGCTCAATCTCGCTGAGAAATCTTACAAAAGTGCTGGAGTCAACGGCCAGCCTTGCCTTCATCGTTCGATGACATTTGCAGTACCCTCATTGACTTGATGATTCAGGTTTCAGGAATGCAGCAGCTCGGATCAATCACAGCGTTTACCACGCCTGTCTCAAGGCACTGTGTTCTGCTTGTATGTTTATGGCATATTATAGTTAAAGATTTTTTGTTAATATAATGTTGACATTTTTGTTTATTAAATATTATGATTATAGTCAGTTATGCCATTCAGATGACAATAACCAACACCTACAAAAAAAGAGCATGGCAATGGTTGTGGCCACCACCACCACCACCAACAACAACAAATGGCATGCCACAATTGCAGTGTACCCCCACTACATTTGTGTTGCTTTGATGAGCACCCATAATGCACAACAATTCGAAAATGAGTTCCACCAAGAGCTTTGAAAAGCCAACCAAATTTACAAGCAAAACAGAGAAGTTTGGTTAGGAGATGTTTGTCTTGGCTCATTCCCGATCCTCATTCCCAATGGACATCATTGTCTGGAGAACTGGCATCTCAGTCATCTATCACAACTTGGAAACTGGCAAAAAAGAGCCTCAAATCAATCTAGCAAACATCACCAATATGTTAGTTGATATGTTCTTCTCAAACTTTCCGACCACCATTTGGTACTGAGCCACAGAAATTTTATGCAAGCTG